AAGGAAGGAAGGAAGGAAGGAAGGAAGGAAGGAAGGAAGGAAGGAAGGTAGAAAGAATACCACTCGAGTTTATGAGTGCTCTTGGTTTTCTAATTCATTAGTTTCGGTCTTTAACTTAATTCCCTCCTGCTTTATTTTTTCTTAACTTGGATTGAAATGCTTAATTTTTTTCTATTTTTACTGATAGAAGTATTTAAGTCTACATATTTTCCCTGAGCATTGATTTAGCTGAGAACCATCGGCTCTACTGTGCTGGGGTTTGTTTTTGTTTTTGTTTTGTTTTAAGAATTCCTGCAATTCTTAACCCTGGAGCTAAAAGAAAGGGTTATTGTTGTTTTTTAGACTTTAATTTGTAAGTAGAAGAAATTTTTAGTTTTATTATTTTATATCATGATCAAAACATTTGAATTAATTCTTTCAAATTTGAAGTTTTTCTAACATATGGTAAGTTTTCCCAAGTATCCCATGAGCACTAGGAAGGGTTAAAGTCTCTATTTGCAGGGTATAATCACCATTATCATCCCCTTCCTTAGGCTAATCTCAGATCTCGAACTCCATCCCTTGTCTCATTGTAAGGTGCTACCTAAGTCCTTCCCACATGGCACCTTGGGGGCTCCATGCATGTTGGTCTCTTGAGTACTCTCCCCCGCCCATTTCACCTGGTTCACCTCACAACAGCAAAGGAGGCACTCCCACCAGAAGCTCTCTGCCTACAGGAAGCCTTCCAACCCTTCCCCTTACCCCCACATTCCCCCAGACCAAATTCCTGATCACGTAGTTCCTCTACTTTCCTCCCTCATGAAGCAATGGCCTCTACTCTTCTAACCTCCTGACTCAGCCTGCTCCCCCCACATCCTGTCCTCCAAGCAAGCGACCCCACCATTCCTGAGATCAGATACCCAGCACACAGCACCTGCTCACTGGTGTGCAACATAGTGGCCCACTCCCCAGACCAGCCCTGGCTCTGCCGCTGCCACCTTTTGGGACATGGTCTCCCTGGGCTTCCTTTGGGACATGGTCTCCCCAGGCTTCCTCTGTCCCCCATGCCCATTGGTGCCCAGCTCACAAGGACAGAGCCCCTGCAGGGCTGTCCTCAGCCTCCTGCATCAGACACTTGGCACACACAGCCCACTACTTCCAGGGAACACAGCCCCTGCCCCAAGCCCACCCAGCAGTGTCTGGTGCAGGAAGGACTGAACAAGGGTCAGAGGATACCACCAACTCCATTCTCAGGTGCCTGGCTATGACCATAAGGTTAAAAAAAAAAAAAAAAGAGACACACACACACACACACACACACACAAAGCAAATAGTGATGCTCTAGCTTAGGCAGGACTGTGGGTAGGCAGATGGAAGGCTTATAGCCCAGGGCAGTAATATCTGGACCACCTCCAGGTTTCAAAGCCAAGTAGGAACCCCTCCTTCCCCATGGCAGACAGGCAGATGGTGGGGAAGATGGATAACCTCTTCTAAAGTGACAGGCATCTCGGGCCCTGGCCCATGCCCTCTCACCCCAGGATCCCCGGTCCAGCCTGTGCTATGCATGACCTGGCTTACCTGGGAGGATCTCGTTCCAACTGATACGAATATAGCGGTCCCGATCAGCCCGTGAGTGCTCATGCCAGAAGCCCAGCACATGCATGAGCTCATGCAGGACAATGCCCGGGCCTTTCTGGAGACAGGTGGGTGCTAGGGACACCACCTGCATCCCTCCACTGCGTCCCACGCTGGAGAAACACCTGCAGGTCCAGAAGAGCACACGGGGTAGACATCAGCCCAGAGATCCACAGCAGACCCAGGTCCCCTTGCCCTCCCCCACAACATCCTAAGATGAATGAGCACCAACAGGTAGCCCCCATCCTAGATTCTAGTCCCAAGCCTGAAGTTCCCAAGTCCCTTCACTGCCTGGCCATCTGTGAAATGGGTACACTGAATTCCCATTCCCAGCCTGGGGTACAAGGAGGATGGAGGGATGGAAAGGAACATCGATAATGGAAGCAGCTCGCTGAGCGAACGTCCCTATGCAGAGGTCCCTAAGTCAATGCTTTCACTGTGATCTTTGGTCCCTAACAAGCTAGAAGTGGGTACTGCCGTCATCCCCATTTCAGAGAAGGCAGGAGAGCCTCAGGAGTTGAGGCAGCTGGCTCCTACACAGTAGAACCTGGATCGGAGGTCCAGTGGGTCCCACAGAAGCTGAACCCCCTCCCCAGACCATGAAGCCTCCTCACAGGAAGGTTTTGTGAGGGTCAAGTATCCCCTTCTCCTCCTTCTCCACCTTCTGCCCTAAGTATCTGTAGGTCCAGCTCCCACCCGGCAGACCACTCAGTGGGCAGGACGGCTCTGGACCTGGGAAGACTGGCCCAGAGACAGGCTTTAGATGATGGCTTGGGTGAATCCTGGCTGAACCCCAAAGAACGCAGAGGAAACCCACACACACGGTGCACACACACGCATGTGCGTACACACACACACACACACACACGCTTGTGCACGAGTGCACACACATGCCCCTGAGCACGTACCCAGACATGGGGATGATGGAAATGAAGTCTCTCTGGCCCCGGTAGGCAACAAACCGGATGCACGTGAACCGCTCAAACTCTGCAAATGCCCTCAGGAGGACCTCACGGCTGGCTTTATCTGGGGGAGGCGACACCAAGGCTGAGCCTCCAGCGGAGACCCCCCGGGAGCCCTTGTGACCCCTGGCAGGCCCGCGTGCAGGGTGGGAACAGAGCCTCCAAGCATATTTCCAAAATGGAAATGTCAGGAAAGGGCAGCCTGAGTGTCGAGGGAGGAGGGGGAGGGGGGAAGCTGGGTCCCAGACAGGCCCTAGTTGTGCAGCCTTGGGTAGGTCCCTGTCCCCTGGGCCGTGTGGCCTTGTGATGGGGGTACAGAGGACTGTCTGTCCCATCAGCTCTTCTGGGCTCTCCGCCCTCCCAGCTCCGGAGCCGCTCAGGAATAAAAGCTTCTTGGGGAAGGGCTCTTTGGTAATGGCAGCAAATAGAGGCAGAGGAAAGAACCCCAGAGGAGCCCAGGCTACACAGGGGAGTAAGAGTTTAGAACAGGGAGGCTCACAGCTCCCAGGACCCAGCGCACACGCTCACTCACCGTACTTGCTGGAGAGCAGGAAGGGGACCTCCACAACACCCCCATTCTTAGGCCACTTGTTGCTGCTCGCTGAGAATATCTGGAAGGGACTCTGAAGAGAGAGGGCAGTTTGGGGACCCTGGGGACACAGGCCAGCCAAGCTTCTTGCCCCCAGAGGTGCTGCATCTCAGGCTCCAAAGGACCCAAAAGACCCGAGAAGCAGGACGCAGGTATAGGAGGGTGGGGACAGAGGGCTAGGACATCCGGGGGCCTGCTAGATGAACTACAATACACAACGCGAGCCTTTGTTCTACAGAAGGGATCTGTAGATTATTCCATCAAGCATAAGGACAAAACCCAATACTTGTTCCTGAAGAGGCTGACTGGGAGTGCCAGCTCCCCACGGTGGCCGCGTTCAGAAAGGCTCAGAGCTCCAGCAGCAGCCCTGTCCTTCCTGAAACCCCGCCATCAGCCAAGCATCCCTGAACTCCCAGGGAAAGAGGAGGCAGGGTCCTTCTCAGGCTGATGGGCTTAGCAACTCCTTTTCCATCCTTCTGCCACCCAGAACCCTGTGAGGCGTGGGCTTCATGGCACCCTGGCCGGTCCTGCCCCATGGTCTACCACAGATTTTTACTGGATTCTGCTCTTCCTCCCTGTCCTCACTGGGTTAACCAGGGACAGGCGCCTCGCCCCAGCCACCAGCTCCAGGCTTTGGCTCTGCAACCCAGCCTCATGTTGGGCTAACAGTGGGCAGCCTCCAGCCAACAAAACGAACTTGCTCTCACCAGGTCACTGTCCTGTTCAGGAGGATACCTCTCCCCCCCAGTCACTTAGAAGATGGCCCTGTTCTCCTAGACACCATGCATTCTCACCTCCCCCCGCAAGTCACCCCAATTCCTTCCCAGCCTTCTCCCTTTCTGACTCCACCCCTCCCAAGAGGGGGATCCCAGACCATGGCTACCACCTCCGGGGTTCCCCACCACCACCTCCTACAGCCCCACCAGTCCCTCTGCCAGTCTGTGCTCATCCCTTCCTTCATTCCAGTACTTTCTGAGCACCTGCCCTGGATAGACTACCAAGCTGGATACTGAGGGCTCAAACCCCCTCCTTCAGGAAGCCCTCCCACGCTGACTGCTGTTAGCACTATAGATGTTACCCTCCCTCCCATTCAGTCTGGCTGATTCCTACTAGAACATTCCCTGTGACTTTAGCAAGAAGGGATATTTATCACGCTATGAGCAACAGAGATGACTCCCTCACGTATCACGCCCGCATGACATCAGAGGCTGGGCTCAAAGGCTTCTAACGCTCTCTGGGAAGTAATTCACACCCGTGTGTGTACATGCTCATACTCACTGGCCGAAGGATATCCCCCTCCAGGAGGAAGCTGCTCTCAGGGGATTCCTCTGGGATGAGCCCTGGGAAGAAGGGAGGGATGTGGGTGAGTTCATGCCCCCCCCCCCCGAAACCAGACTCTAGGGACAGGCCCAGCAGCAACCCCAGAGTCTGGCCTTTCTGACTGGAGAAAGAGTCTTCAGTCTACAAACATGCATGAAGCTTCTTTGCCCAATCCCATCTCTCCCTTGTTAGAACACAGTCCAGAGCTCCCCCAACCCATGCAAATCCAGTTCCAACCCCTCCCTCTAGGTTTGATTCTCTCCGATAATCAGGAGCGGTCTTTTCTTCAGCTGTTCCCTACATCCTCCCCCTCTCCAGCTCAGGCCACCCTCTGGGAGCACGCCCTGGGTCTCCTGTCCTTCCTCATCCACCATCTAATTCCTACCCATCTGTGGGATATGCAGGGCCCTCACAGTGACAAGTGACCAATTCCAGCTCGCACCAACACAGAAAGAAGGCGTCGGGCGCCCGTGAGTCTGGCTCTCTGGCTCGCTCCCTCCCCACGTCAGCCTGTCTCTGCTTCTCTCTGGGGTCACAGCTGGCAGCCCTTCTCCCCAGCCTCCTTACTAAAAGGTCAGTCCCGGAAGAGGCTCTGGCCCCGGAGGTGCGTTAGGTTGGGTTCCCTAGACACAGAGCCTGAGCTAACGAGGTACCTGCAAGTAATTTATGGGGGGGGGGTGCCAAGGAAGACCCAGGCTCTGCTGGAATGCAGCCTCAGCCTCATCCCATAGGAGCTCAGGACCACAAAAGGCACCACACGCTTGTCCCCATGGCCCTTATGAGCCACTGTGGGCCGCCCTGGGCAGGAGAGGGAGTAGCTTCCCAGGCATCCCTGGCCAAGGGCCTTCAGCTGTGAGGCCTTAGCACCCCACATTCCCGGGATGGCGCGTGCTTCCCAGTAAAGCGCATTCCAGGTAGCCGTTGGGCCTCCAGCAGCCCTGGCTGAGAGTGTCCTCTATGGTGGCTGAAAAAAGAAAATCAATGCCGGGGAAGCCCCAGATTGGTCCTAGCTGCCTCCAGACCAGTCACTAAAAGGTGGCACGCTGCCCTGCTCCTGCCCAGCCATGCTGGGGCTCCAGGTCGCCTCACAGAGAAAGAGGAGCCAGACCACAGCGTCATTGGAAGATTTTCATCCCTCCAGACAAAGTTCCCCCAACACTTCAGCTCCAACCTCCAGACTCCAGTCTGTCCCCCACAAGCAGCTTCATCCCAGATTATCCATGTTCTTTCTTCAGCGGAGATCCCCAGACAGGGAGGCAGGAAGCCTCCTGCTGCTTTGGCTTTGCCCACCCCACCCCCAGCTCACACCTGCGGACAATCCTGCCCCAGATGGCTGACATCTCAGACACCCACTAATGACTTCACTCAACACCAGATGGAGTACCCCAAAGACCCATACTTTTCTCAGGCTGTTTTTTTTTAAAACCCAGGCTTTTCTCTCTTCTTAACAGTCCAGTAGAGAAGATACAGAAACAGACTTTTCAAAAAGCTGCCCACAGAACAAGGAAAGGTTCCTCCTCTAGAGCCCAGTGAACGGACACCTTTCCAGCTGGTTCTGCTTGGCTGCGTGTTCAGCACAGTCCTTACCACACCACATCGACTCAGAGCTCCTCCCCCCGCAAGACGACACCATGCCCTCACCTTGGTTAATCGCAGGGATGTCCTTGTCCCAGGACGTCTGGGTGTCCTCAGGGTTGAGGCCCTCTGAGAAGCTGGTTCCACAGGCTTCTGGGGAAGTGCAGGCTGAGGGTGCTCCTAGGATCAAACCTGCAGACAGGTGCGGACCCATGATGCCCAAGGTGCCCTCATTGGCGAGAGAGGACAATAGGATGTCGGGGAGGGGGGGTATCAGACAGCCAGAGCCAGGACCTTCCCAAAGGCAGTCCTCCAGAAAGTGGTCTTCAGTCCCTAGACAACTTTGAGGAAGGAGCTCCCTTAAGGGGACCAACACTGGGCTCCAAAAGGCAGCCCCTGGCTCTGAGTATCTGTGCATAGGAGCAGAAGGGAGGCGGGGACAGATCTCAGATGCCCACAGTTACAGCAGTGCGGGCTAGCCTAAACCCTGCTCCCTGCCTCCCTTCTCAGCCCAGACCTCTGGAAAAATGGACTCAGACTGGGCCAGCCTGGCACACCAGCAAAACAGGGACCTCTGGAGTGCCACACCTGCTCCCTCCTGCCAGGCAGGCCCTCTGAATTCAGGATCTTCAGGAGGCCTCCCCTGACGCCCCTAGGAACTGACTTCTGGGAACGTCCCTGGAGAGCCCATTTTTTTCTGAGTATTCAGACCCCTCCGGATCCCTGCGGGCTCCAGCCACACCCTTCCCTCCTCTACCGGAGCTTTGTGGCTGGAACCAAAACTCCAGAAGAGAAGGGCGAGGCAGCACTCTTACCTGGCAAAGAGAGCAGACCCAGCACCCATGGCCAGAGGCCGCCCATGTTCACGCAGTCTGGGGTGGGCCCCACCGGCCCCGCAGCAAGCTGAAGCCCAGACACCCGGAAAGACAAACCCACCTTGCCGCCAGCCTCCTCCCCCACCTACCCCTTAAATAGCAGCTTCTCCAGCCCCCACCTGCAGCCCCTCCTCAACCAACCCCACGGGCAGCCCAGCTCCATCAACACCACCTGCAGCCCTTTACTGCTCCTACCTGCGTTCCCCCCCCCCCCCCCCAGCCCACCCCCAGCCCAGGCCCGAGCTTCCGGACCCTGGTCAAATACTTCTCCACCTGGCTGAAGTCCGGGAGAAGGTGAGAAACCAGGCACAAAGCACCTTGCAGGGAGGGAGGGTACCACTCCGGAGTGTGTCTCGTCTAAGGTCCCCTCACACCACCAGGGGGCAGGGAAACATCACAGAAGGGTGCTAAGGCGGGCACGCCGGGTTGGCCCTCATCCTCCAACAGTGGGAGATCCCTTTCCTGCCCCCGACCCCCGCCGCCCTTCGCTCACACCTGGGAAAAGCTGCCTGAGACCCTGAGGCACCCCCAGCCTCTCTGGAAGGAGGAAAGGGTCACTAATTTTTATAAGCTTTTACTTTAGTTTACATAGAGGGAAGTGCACAGTCCCAAGTGCGGGAACCTGGGAAAGTTTACACACTGAACGCCCAGCGTAACCAGCGCCCCCAGAGAAGCCTGCCATGTGGAGACAGGGAGCTTCTGGATACCTTCACCTTGCATGGACACTACCCCTGTCATCCCCACAACAGCCTTGCACAATTGGCATTTATCCCCATTACACAGATCCAGAAGCTAAAGCTCCTTACCCACATTCCTCTCCCTCTACACTCCTTAGCCTCTTTCTCAGAGCTGGGTCACCAGGGGGCCCACCTGGATTTAAATCCTGGAGGTGAAGGATTTGAGGACCTCCCCCACCAATGCCCAGTGAAGAGAAGTGACAGAGCAGAGGCAAGGTCACCAGCTACGGTCCACACTGTGCTGGTGTGCTCAGCATCCCGCCATGCCTGGAATCCAGCATTTCTCCAAATATAAGAGTCAGAGCCACGGGGAGAACAGACAGATGCCCCTGCCCCCCAGGCAGGGTGTTAGGGTGTGTAAGCGTGCACGGACTGGCCACGGCTGATGAGAGCTTGCTAAAATCATCCTGATAGTCACCCTGCTGGGGTAGAGAAACAGATTCTTGGTTAAGAAATGCAGTTTGGCTTGAGGACATTATGTGAAGCGAAATAAGCCCTTTACAACAGGGCCAACCTGGTATGATTCCACTTAGAGGAGACACACAGTCAGATTCAGAGACCGGAAGTAGAAGGGTGGTTGCCAGGGCCTGGGGGAAGGGGGAAACGGCGAGCTGTCATTTAATGGGCACAGAGCTGCAGTTCTGCGAGAGGGAAACTTTCTTGATCTTGAATATGTTTAACGTTACTGTCTAATTAAAAATAGTAAAGGTGATGGGGCACCTGGTGGCTCAGTCAGTTCAGTGTCCGACACATGGTCTCAGCCCGGGTCTTGATCTCAGGGTCATGAGTTCAAATCTTATGTTGGGCCGAATGCTGGGCGAGGAACCTATTTAAAAAAAAAAAAATAGTAAAGGTGGTAAATTTCATGTTATACAGTAGTCCCCCTTCCTCTGCGGGGGATACATTCCAGGATCCCCAAGTGGATGCCTGAAACTGTGGTTGATACACAAGTCTGTTTTTTCCTATACATACAAACCTATGAGAACATGTAATTTATAACTTAGGCACAGTAAGAGATGAACAAAAGTTAATAAATGCTGTAATTAACAACAACTAATAAATGTAAAATTAAAATAAATGGTTTTTCTCTCAAAATATCTCATTGCACCGAACCTCACCCTTCTTGTGATGGTGCGAGATGATAAAATGCCTACGTGATGAGGGGAAGGGAGGTGAGGTGGGTGATGTCGGCACTGTGACAGAGCGCTGGGTTACTGTTGACCTTCCAGCAATATGTCAGAAGGAGGAGCACCTGCTTCCAGACATCAGTTGACCACAGGCAGCTAAAAACCACAGAAAGCAAAACCTCGGATAAGGAGGGACTTATCGTATATTTTCAACCACAATTTACATTTTTTTAAAGTTTTTATTCATTTATTTGACAGACAAAGATCACAAGTAGGCAGAGAGGCAGGCAGAGAGAGAGGAAGGGAAGCAGGCTCCCCGCCAAGCAGACAGCCCAACGCAGGGCTCGTGGTGACCTGAGCCAAAGGCAGAGGCTTTAACCCACTGAGCCACCCAGGAGCCCCACGATTTAAATTTTCTTTAAAAAGATTTATTTATTGATTTTAGAGAGAGCGTTAACAGGGGTGGGGAGGTGGGGAGGGGCAGAGAGAGCAAAGCCTCAAGCAGATCCCCTGCTGAGTACACATTTTTCCAACCCCCTCACCAGCCCAGGGCTCATCCCAGGACCCTGAGATCATGACTTGGGCCAAAATCAAGAGCGGGCTCCTTGACTGACTGAGCCACGCAGGAGGCCCACAATTCAAAAATTTTAAAGAAATAAATAAGAAAGAAGGATTGGGAGGCAGAAACAACAAACTTGGGGCACCTGGGTGGCTCAGTTGGTTAAGCAGCAGACTCTTAATTTGGGCTCAGGTCATGATCTCAGGGTGGTGAGACCGAGCCTGGCATGGGGGCTGCTTGTGGAATCTGCTTGAGTCTCTCTCTCCCTCTGTCCCTACCCCCACCCCCACTTACTTGGGCTTGATCTCTCTCTCTTTCTCTCTCTCACAAAAAAAAAAAAAAAAAGAAAGAAAGAAAGAAAAGAAAAGAAATTTAAAAAAAAGAAAAACTTAAGAACACAGGTAGAGTAGGCTGGAGGAGGAGAGTGAGTGGAAGGGATGGGGCAAAGCCGATGGGCAGGGGCCTCAGCCCCAAGCCCTGCTGTTTGTGAGACAGGACTGGATGCTGGGAAGGCCCCGATGACTCAGCGCCCCAGCTGCCCTCCACTCCCAACCCAAGTTCAGTGTTGTTGGCAGGTCCAAACGGAAGTCTACTCAGGGCCTAAGAAAGCCTTGATCATAAGCCCAGCTCTGCTTGGTTCCCACCGGGAGCGCCTCACCCATCCTAGAGAGCAGAGGGAATAAGACCTGGGAGGCAGGCCGCTCGTCCTTCACCAGGCCTGTTGGAATGAGTGCCGACCTGTGCCAGACTCCGGGCACCGAGGGCAGAGCAGACCACGGGCCTGGCCTTCACGAGCCTCTGACCTGTTTGAGACGCACAGCTACACACCTGCGAACCTTCTTCACCTCCTGGGCCAGCAGTAGCTAGCATATTTCCTGAGCATCTACTACGTGTAGATGCCAGGCTAAGCCTCTTAAATGGACTGACTTGTGCCGTTCTCCACACCACACCAACTGTGAGAGACTAATGATAAAACCCATTTTACAGACAAGGGAGAGGAAATGCAGGAGCAAACCTGGCCTCCTAACCATTGAGCTCCACCCCTCAGGTGTACCCTGCCAGGTACCCAGAATGCCACGGGGAAGAGCCGGCATTCTGTGGGGGGCACCCTTGACCTGAGTTGCAAAGGACAAAGAGCATCAGCCAGATGACACTTGGAGTGGCCAGGAGTGAAGGCTGGATGAAGCAGGGGTAGCTGTCCAAAAGTTGACCATGAGGACCTCCGCACCCCTGCTCCCAGGCAAATCATAGCCCCTGTTGCCAGCAGCCTCAGCACGCACCCCTCCACTTCTGACTTCAGCTGGGCCCATGACTCCTACCTCCCCGGACGGCGTAGTCCCGTGCCAGGCATGTAACCAACATTCAGTCAAAACATGCTGCTTGCGGGGCGCCTGGGTGGCTCAATGGGTTAAAGCTTCTGCCTTCAGCTCAGGTGATGATCCCAGGGTCCTGGGATCAAGCCCCGAGTCAGGCTCTCTGCTCAACAGGGAGCCTGCTTCCCCTTCCTCTCTCTCTCTGCCTGCCTCTCTGCCTACTTGTGATCTCTGTCAAATAAAAATAAAATCTTAAAAAAAAAAAAACAAACATGCTGGTTGGGTGGGTGTAAAGAGCAACTAAGCCCATCCCCGGTGACGTGTTCTCACGCCAGACACAAGGCCACGTGGCTTCTGGGGACAAGAAGGAACTTGGGAACGGGCTGCCACGAGCCCCAGGGCAAACAGGCATTCAGAGGCCTGGGTTCTGTGCCTGTGCATGCGAGAGGAGAGGGGGGCGGCTATGTTGCCCTACTGTGGGGAAGAGGAGGCCCGGCCTAGCTCATGCGCGCACGGCCGCCACAAGAGGCGCACACACACAGGCACATGCACGGATTATCTTCAGGCGCACGTGACATGCAGGTTGTGTGCAATCTGAGAACACCAGACACACACACCCGTGCAAACAGCCACACACACGGACGCACACGCACACATATCCACCCATGTTCCCAAAAATAAGTGGGTCTGAGCCATGGACACAGGCCTCTCCCCCCAGGGTCCAAAGCCAGTGATAAGAATAAGGTTGGAGACAGCCTCCCAGAAACCACCTCCTGCAGCTCTGGAGACAGAACACTGCCTGCACTAGGACACCAGCACAGGGCACCTGGGGCCGGGAGGGCCCCTCCGGCTCCACGGGCACCTTCCTCCTTCCATGCCCCAGGCACTGGCCATGCAAGGAAAGGGGAGGTCTGATGAAGACACAGTGTTGGAGCATTTTCCCAGGACATTGACTTGAGACCAGAGGCTTGAGACGTTGTTTTTTAAACAAAACAATACTTTATTGACACGTCTTCAATGTTCCTTATAAATATAAAGTGCTAAGTTTCCAACCCCCGCCCGCAGGGCTAGGAGGAAGTGGGGGAGGGAGTGTTAAATGTCACCTGAACACAAAAAAACTTTCCAGCACCGATACAGGCGTGAAATGCTCACACACACACACACGTGCGCAAGAGGCCCACACGCAGCAGACGCAGCCCTTCCCTGACGCACAGCTCCCCAGGAGCACAAGGTGCAGGCCCCAGGCCTGT